GTGAGGACAAAACACATGTTGTTAAGTGTGTGTTATATGAGAACCGCTGTTCTGCGTACTGGTAGGGCAAGGATCCTGGGAGAGGGAGAAGCATCAGTTAATATAAGTCAAGACTATAGCATATATCCAAGAGATAAAGATTAATGGTGCACAGGCAACTGCTCTCTAACATCTGTATCTGACTTTTCAGCTTTAATAATGTTTTCAAAATGTAGCTTTCATTTGTACAATTACTGCTGGAAACATCATTGGTCTGTTTATTTTTGGTGTCATCCTGCTTAGTAACTAAAACACACATTAAGGACTATTTTAAAAGAAAGAATAATGAATCAATTAGTGAATATTTTAACAAACAAGTTGTATAGCCTCACGTCAAGTAGTGTTCAAACAAGTTAAAATAATTATTTTAAAGTTGCAGGCCAACTCATAGTGCTTAGTTAGGAAGCTCCAAAACAAAACTGCATGTTATTTTAATCTTTCCTTATTATGCCCTCTGATATGATCTTTAATTACACAATGAAATGCCTTTTCTTTCCCACCAGAAACCTTCAATAAAACTTGATAAGAAATTGCCGCCTTAATTAAATCCTCAGTTTATTAATAATGCTTCAAATGAACTTCTCATCTTTGCCTGTAACTTACAGAACTTTCCAATAGATTTGCACTGCCATCAGTGTCTTTAAATTTTTTTAACCAAGTTAGCCGTGCCCTAACTATCTTAGTTTTTATTTAAAATTCAGCATGCAGCTGCATCACAGATCATGCCTTAGGTTTTTCTGTTCCTTTCTTGAATTAAGATCTTGAAATGCTACCTCAGTGCTCTATTTTATTAGCCCTTCTAGTGATAGAGTGTGGCTCCTTTGGAAACAACAGGAAGAGCTCTGTAAGTTTTTGTTACTGCTTCATGTCTAAGTTGTAAATATCATCTAGTCTTAAACTGTATTTTGGTTTTGGAAGTGTTAGAGTGTGTGCACTGAATTATGGTTATTGTCAATCACAACTCTTCAGGATGTTGCTGGAATTGGCCCTGGAATATCTTCCACCATCAACAAAAATAAATTTTCTCTTGAGATGAAATATCTTTTTCTAACATAAGCGTTCTGTAGTCTTCAGACAGTCTCTAAAAGATGAGCTGCTTTGCCATTGATGAGCCGACAAAGAAAAAGGATGCTTTATACTTTAATTAAATGGAATATATAATAGAAACAGGAGACAACTAACTCTTAAAACAGTCCACAGAGAGGTCCAAATAATAAACATCCTACTTGAACTGAGATGATGATAGCTGAAAATGCATTAAGGAGACAGAGAAACAAAAACAAATGAAGGTGAGAACTCAGTGAAGCAGGCTGAAGTGGAGTAAACACTTTGTCAGGACAGTAGCCCATGTTAGTGCTAATGGGTTTTGCATTAGTATGATGGCTATAAAATACTGACTCCTGGCATCAGAGTTAATGACAAAAATCTACAACAATTTTACCTTATATATACATGCAGGAACAATAATACCATAAGAAAGATTCTTATCTGTTAATTTTTTTTTTTATAATATTGCAGCATGTGAAAGAACTGGTAATAAATGGTAAGTGACAATTGTTAGGTAAATGTGTTACGGTTCTGAAGTTGAGTTTTGATTGGTAACTAATGAAACAAAAAAGATCAGATGGTACCAGAAACACGCACCAAATCAAGTTGTTATTTTTAGAATGTTGTTCAGAGGACCAGATTAATCAGGCTAAACTTTTAATAAGAGGATTACATATATCTGTATCAATATTAGGAAGATTTGTAGCTTCATTTGCAATTTCAGAGGACGTAATACCTTCATGTGTGCTACTGACTAAAATGAAACACTTTCTGTGACTGGTTGAGGTTCATAAAATAAATTTCAGCCCTGGTGGGTTATACAGAGGACAATGCTAAGTGTCTAAAATCACTTGCCACTAGCCTTGTTACCTAGTCCAAGCCTGTATTGCTGGCAGTCAGGATCCAGCCAATGCTTGATGCACAGTGAGGAAAAAGGGCCTGTAGGCAATACTGTAAAGGTGAGGGCAGGGCTGTTGGCTGCTGAAACAGCAGAAATCTGCTCCTCAGTGGAGCTTCTGTATATGGACTGTACAGCCAGAATCTCCAGCAGTGGTGTGATCTGGCCTTGAGGACATTTTCCCTGACTCTTTCCTCTGCGGCACAGAGTTGGTTCGTGGGTGCTTGTGCCAGCCTCACGCTAGTTTTGCGAGGGCAGCAGGCCGGTGAGAATGTGACTTGAAGCTGTCAGCGTGCCCCTGCATCATGGTCTCCTGCATTTGGAGCGTCTTGTGTGTAGCTGGTGAGTTAGAAAAGTTGAAGCAATTGGAGGCAGCGTGGAAATTGGGCCAATACCAAGGTTAGAGGAATACAAAAAGGGCTTTAAGCTGTCCCCAGAGCATTTGCAAATTTGCTGGTGGTTTCTTCTTTTTACAGTAAGTGGAGTAAGGCAGAAGAAAATTAAGGACTTGTTCAAGATGAGAGTAAGTCATGTTGAGAACAAGATTAAAAGCTTTGTCTTCATCTCCAGGGTTATGTCTTTCTAAACTCTAAGAGGAGAGAGTTTGAGAACACCTCTATGTAAAGAACTACAGCTGATGCCAGCTGAGTCATATATAACAACAGACTGGCTGACTTGGAGTTTCAGTTGTGTCTCACCAGACTTGAGTCTTGGCAGGGAGGTACAAACTTACTCTATTAAAATACTCATGGCTGCTAGGCTCAGATCCTTCTGATTGTAAGATTTTGGAGTCTCCAAAGGCACATTTCCGCCAACATTTACAGAATATTATCACTTAGTGCTGGCGTAGGTGTTTCAGAAAATCTTGTTAAACAGCTTGAAATGATCGGCCTTTTATGTCCTTAATTAGAGGAATTTTTGAATTGCCTGCTTTTTGCACTGCTGAAGTAGACTGAATTCTTGTTTGGCTGTGATAAAGATGCATATTGTAACCCTCTATGAACTGTGGGTTTATGTCTGTATAAAAAGCAAAAGAAGTATTCCATCTTCCATTTTTCCTATTTGAAATGCATTAGCCTTATTTTTGTCTTCCACCTGTTTCCTCCCTCCAACTCCACAGGTTTTTAATTTTCATGTTTGGATATCCACCAAGGTGCCCACCAGGTTCTTAGATGTATAGCTCAGCAGTTGGGCACTTCAGTTTGTGGATTTTGCAAAAGTTTGAAGCCTTTAATTTTTATTTATTTATTTACTTTAGGAATCGGCTTTTAGTATTTGATATTTTGTATTTGAAATGGGGAGGATGTATTCATATGGTTTTGGTGAGAAAGTGTCATATTGGGGCAAGACAGAATAGAATTAATTCCTCAGGGTTTTGGGCTTCAGCAGAAGAGTGCTTGGGCTCTTCATGTGATAAAAGAATGAACCTGAATAGCAGTGATGTCTGTGATTTCTTATCTAAAGAGAGACATGAGGAATTATTTCCTTCCTCACGTGCAGTTAGGTCACTGCTGTTGTCCCTCTCAGGTACTCAGTACATGGGCATACTTGATCTCCTCTGTACCTAACGATACTTCAGTCTGAAGTATGGAATAAAAACTACCATTACCTAAACTGTTTGCTTACCACCAATCTTAAAATCTCCATCTGTGTTATTTTTTAGTGCTTCCACTCTTTTCTTTTGCACTTGATATGATTGTTGTCCAGCCAACAATCACTTGCATCTGATGGTGAGATATGCGGTGGGCTATCTCTGTGATGTTTCCATCCAGCAGTTCCTTTCACTTTCTTGAACTTTCTCATGCTTTATTTCATCAAAACATTTTGAGTTCAGCTGCTCTCTGTCCAGATGAGATTTCTTTTTTTTTTTTTTCCAGAGGTGATGCATGAAGCTGTTGCTGGTAGCCCTCATGGTGATTAGTTTCTTGCTTTCTGGTTAAGAAGTCCATAGGCTTGGTCTACAGCAAATTTGTCTAGCAATTTCAGTTAGAGAAAATATTTTTTATTTACTGCTTTTAAGATATTAGCAGTATTGCAGTGCTTTATAACCATATTATACTGTTGGTACACCACATTTCATTAGCTGGGAAGGGAGTTGTGAGATTATCATGCAAAATACTGCTGATCTTCCTCTGTGGAGTAGTTGCATCCAAGATACTGAAGTACTTGCACAAGTAAAACTAATGGGACAAGTTTCAGGAGTATGAAGTTTTTCTCCTAACTACTATGACTTAATAGCCCAAGATAAAGTACTGCCTGCAGTACTGATAGGGTATATCTTGCAGAAAAGATTATCTTCCATGTAATGAAAAAGTAATTTTAAATTAATGTATTTGATTGTATACTTGAATGAGCTACTACTATTTGTGCATATCTTCTGTTGATGGTTTAGATACACAAATAGAAACTAATAAGTTCTTATTAAAGATTTTTATTTCATCATTACAGATGAAACCGCGAGCAAAGGAACTGCTACAAAACTGTATTTTTGTTGTTTCCTGTTGCTTTCAGTACTTAGAATGTAAGATTTTTATTCAGTCTGGGTTAGTCTTGGGTGAACAAAATGCAGGTCTACTTATAATTTAGTAACTAGCCTATGCATTTGCGTTTAAAAATCTTGCTGCTGGAAAGCATCCTAATAGCTGTTCAAATTATTTATGCTTTAGGTTGACTTCATAGCTTAACCATGTTTTTTTTCTTTTCTTCTATGGATTATGGTTTATAGTGATTTATTTTGTTTGAAGTTGTCAGAACATAACATTGTCAGGATGTAGAAGAGCCACATTTTTAGCTATCGAACACTGTTCAGGTAAAGGCGACATTACGAATGAGCACCCATATATATCTATGCTAGTAAGGGCAAACAAGTGCTCCTGAAGCAAGATATGGAGAAACAAAAATAAGAATATGATCAGAACTTTACACCCTCTTTTCTGTAATTGTAGTATTTCAAGATACAGTATTTATGTATCATTCTATCATGGGTTTCCATTTCTTATGGTTTGTTTCATTTCAGCCTCTTGGGGCCAGTGACTATTTGGAGATATCAAAGCATTTTGACACAGTCTTTGTTCGTGACATACCACTTCTTACAATGGCAAAGAGGACACAGGCTCGTCGTTTCATTACTCTTATTGATACTTTTTATGAGCATAAGGTGAGAACCAAGCCTTTCCTATATGTATAGGTATAATACTAAGAGCCCTAAACCTTGACTGTTATAATTGGTTTGAAGTAAGACTTTCTGTAGTAATGATTTGGAAATCATAAGCAGAATGAACTAGCACTGCAAAGAAACATCATTCCAGCTTCACAAAAAAGGCCCCATTGCAATAAAGGCAAATAAGCAGGTATTTTTTTGATTTCTGTGAGTATTAAACATGACCATAAATATAAGCCTGAGCTCATTTGCCTTTCTTCAATGGGGATGTTATTTCTTTCCTAACCCAGGAAAACCACAGAAGCCATGTCATCATTTTAATAATGAAAGATCGTGCTGCCAACTGTGCTGGAGTAAATTTAAATTTTTTAAATTTTAATCTGTATGGGCAGTTGGTTGGGAATCAGTGCCTTCCTGAACAGGGTACAGAGGAGTTAATAGCATAGTTACATTATTAAATTTAAAGGAAACAGTCACTGTAGGCTTTACATTAGGTTGCAGAACTGCTAATGGAATAGTAATGATAAATGCAGCACTTCATGTGGATTTACAGAGGTTTCAATCATAGAAGCAAAATCAGTGCTACTAAAACAAAGAGAAGTTCATGTTTAAGATGATTTCTTAAAAGTAATACAAGATATGAAACCCTATCTTATGTGTGATTACATATGCGCACACTTAAATATTTATGCAATCAGGAAATATCGATTGAGGGGTTTTTTTTTTTTCAAGAATGTCCTGGCAAGATGATCAGAAAGGCCCCGATTCAGCAAGGTATTGAACTAACTAAGTGTATGAGTAGTCTCATTCAAGTCAGCCAGATTCTTTGTGCTTTATGATTTGGAAATGGATGGTTTCTAAGAGGATATGCTAATATTTATAAACTAATAATAGTGTGTTAGAAATGGGGAGAGTGGTAGTCTGCTCTATCAATGTGCTGTCATTAAGAATTGCAAGCAAACAGCTGCTTTGTACTACTTCCTCCATAGGAATAACACAAGTGTAAAACTCCTGTCACAAGTAGTTGCTTGGAAAAACTACCTGAGAAGGCGTATTTGTGGAGACCTGTCCACAATGCAAGCATTTTGCCTGCATGCTCTCAACCAGTGTCTCTTTTTGTAATAATATTTCAGTCTGTGTTCATTGCAGACCCCCAGAGATACTGTATCTCACTGCACATTGTATCTCCTCCCAGCAGGCATGAAAACAGCATCGTTACTGTTATTAGCAAATAATGTGCACTTGAGTAGCATAGGTGAAAGCAAGAGTGGTTCCACTGAGCCTTCTGGAAAATTTGGCATTTAAGCATTCCTTAGATGAAAATACGTGTGTAGTGCACTTGCCTACTGAGAGGAGTCTAACTATGGGGGGAAAGGAAGCATTGGTTACTAATACTTTATAGCTGTTATTTTAGAAAGTAAACTTGATTGTGAATTCATTGCCTGTGTAGCGGATATTTTGAGTATTTAACAGCACAGTTATGCAATTTCCTGAGTAAAAGTTACATGAGTTGTTATTTAGAAGAAGATCCTGTAAGGTTAATATTCCAAATGACTAAGGTAAATTTGTAACAGCAGTGCTAATAAGAGAAAGGGAAAATGACCTGAGAAAAAACCCAAGGTCGTAATTTGAACTTTGCTTTTCATCAAACATGGATTTTATCGCTTTTCTGTAAAGCCCAAGTGATGATATTGTTGCCTGTTTTCCTTCTCTCAGGTGCGTATTATTTGTTCTGCAGTGACTCCGCTCCAAAGCTTGTTCCTGGTAGAACATGACAATGGTGAGCTAGAGGACAACAGAGTGTTGATGGATGATTTGGACTTGTGCCAGGTACATGATATTAACATCGTCTCCCTTTTGTAACAAAATTGGTTTTGGTCTCATAATTACAGCAGCATTTTAGGAAGAGGAATCAAGTAAACATTTAACTAGCGATTTGCTGCTTTTTCTGCCGTGTATCTGTCGCTTTCATAATTGCATGTTATGTTATTTATTCATAGTCAAAGAAAATGTCACAATATATAGAACCATTTTGTGTAAGTTTTAGGGTCATTTTGATTGTTAATCATTATATCTGTTCAATCATGTATGAAAATACTGATTTAAGTTTAGCTCCTACATTTAAAATACAGAAATAAAAGATGGTCTGTTCCACCACTTCCTAGACTATATAGGACTGCCTCACAAACAGTACTATTTTGCATGTTGCTTATTCTGTTTTTCCTTTTCCCTATAACCTAGTTATTGTTAGTGAATTTTTAAATGGTTTGTGTAAATCAGTATACAATTAATCAACAGAAAAGTGAAAACAGATGGTTAAGGTGTTGTCATGTTGTTTTAAACCCAAATTATTGTTTTCCTATGTTCCTTCAGAGGATTACCTAATAATAGGTGGTTTTCTTTAAATTTTGGATGTTACTTTCATTTTTTTGGTGCCATGCTGCTTTCATGTATTGTCAAAGCCTGTAAAGCACTCATCCTTAGGAGTTAGATAGGATGCACTTCAGTACAGCTCTGTCTCTGACAGTTCTGCGGTACTGTTTTTGTGTATTAATGTAGGATTCTGCCAAAGGACTCTCCATGTTTACAGGAGAAGAGGAAATCTTTGCCTTTCAGCGTACTGTCTCACGGCTTACAGAAATGCAAACTGAACAGTACTGGAAAGATGGGGACAGAAGCAAAAAAATGTTATAATTGAAAGTTTAATAAAATCACCAAGAAGTAAAACTACAGAATTTGAAAGCTTTTTAGCACAACTGAAATAATAATTGCACTTTATCATTTGGACTGTGTTTTCTTTCATCAGTTGTTTTTTGTGCTTAACACATGAGGACTCAGGATTTTTTTTTCTGTACCACCAGTGTGTGGACATGTGAAATTTTGCCTTCGTTTTCTCTTCTGTAAAATATAACTTTGATGTTCAGGAAGTTTAATGGGATTAGAATTTTTCTGGAGAATTGGTCTAGAGACAAAGTTAATGGGCTGTGCGGGGTTCACAGTAGATTTATAATGTCATGTGAAGAGGGCACTTTGTGGTTTATGCACTGCTTCTGACATGTACAATGCGTTTTGGACAAAAGAAAAATCAAATGCTTTCTTTATGAAACTCCTGATATGATATTGTATAGTTCCCTGCTAGAATCCTGGAGATCCTCTGTAGTGTATTCTAGGGGGTTTTTTTCTCATTTTCTGTGTGTAGCCATCTGTTGACTTCCAGGCTCTTAAGAGTTTCTTGTAATCAGACTTGCTCAGTCTGGTTCATTGAAAACTAATGGATTGAACCAAGAGAGAACCCTGAGGAGGAGCTTGAAGGTACTTGAAACTGCACAGGATAAAGATCTAAGTAATCACGGATGGGAAAAGAAACTATGGTAAGACAGGGTATACTGTAACATAGAAGTGCAAGTTAATACTCTTCCTAAGTTTTGCAGTTCTTGCAAGCCTGGATATGCTGCCTCTACACCAGTGACGTACCTCTACCCTGAATTTTCTCAGGCTTCATCTATACCAAACCTTCCATTGCTGCTAGTACACCTGCCCTGATCTGGGGACAGTAGTACACAGTACTACTGAGGCAATTCATTGTGCTACAATAGGAATGTGTTTCATGGAAACAATGGGATATTAACTGATACCTCAAAACACATCACCTATCCTTGTGTTTGTAGTTGGAAACTTTCTTTTAGTTAAAAATGCAATTGTGTCATTCTCGGTTTTAATCTAACTGAAACAAAATATGGTATTGCAGATACTGGCTTATAGTGTATTTTTATAAGAAGTCATTTTAAGACCATATTTAGAAACCCTGAATAGGCAAAACCATTATGCAGATGGACTGAAAAGTTTGCCTTAATTTCTTAAGGAGAAGATATATAACACACTGTCCCCAAATTTGAGTTTTCTTGGATTTTGCAACATGACCTTTTTCTTGTACTGTATCTGTTATCAAAAATAATTCTTCTCTGCCTTTGTTAAGCCTGATTAAATTGTTTCACTTGTAGCCCCCATCACAATTACAGAAAGCTTTTAAAAGAGAGTTTTGTGTGGCAGGGAGGACTGGAGAGGTCCTGTGCACTTGCATTTGTTATGGTAATACAGATGCTTTGGAGCCATGTGCTGAAGTGTGGTTTTCTGTTCCGATCACTTCTGTTTGTCCTGGAAGTTACTTATACTGGCTATACCTGTTCTTCAGAGAATTTTTAAAAGCCTCTATTTGTAGTTTACAACTTACGCAACTATGTTTTCATTCCCATAAGGGTGACTACCATGGAGAATTTTAATGCATATTTATGAAAACCCCAGTCAGAATACATTGCTTATACTTAAGAATATCCGAATAATTGATGTATATTTTCAGAGATTTGTATTAGGTTTCTCAACAGAGGAACTATTGAGATTAATGCATGTGTGTCTGTATGTACACACACATATGTATATTTAATTTATACATATCTATATTTATATAGATAAAACTAATATATGTAACTTAAATGTGTGTGGTTCTATATTTATACATGGCAATCTATACTCATCAGCCTGGGGCCTGTGCTGATAACTCTCTGAAGCTTCAGCCTTGACTTTTTTTCTAGCAGCATTCAAATGCCTCCTGAACCAGAATGTAATGTGGGAAAATGGGAGGTGGTGGTAGATACCCTAAAGCACCTTGCATCTGGATATTTGTTTGCATTCTTTTAAAAACCGTTTATATGTTTAGCCTGTATGTCCTCTGTCATGCGGTACAGGGAAAATGCATAATCTTGCAGAACACAGGTGAGATGTCTGGGACATGTGAGAGAGGAGGTCCTGGCAAGTTTTGCATTCCCATGGAGACTGTCTGGGGCCAGGGAAGTGAAGTGTTTCTCCACAGTCCATGTGAGCGATGACCGATCTCCTTTAACCAGGGGATCCCTGGAGCCCGCTGGGCAGATGGTTGTGTTCAAACTGCAGCTTTGCCTATTGGTATTTGAGGCTCTTCTGCAATATGAGCACCCATTGCAAACTTGGATACTCCAGGTTTGTGGAAGCTCCTAAATGCAGTGGGACTGATGTATCGTTGAAAGCCTCCGAGGATGTAGGTGAGCTCTGTGAAACCACAGGAGGGAAGTTCCCAAAAGCTTCCAGAGCCAGCGCTGCTTCCAGGGCATATCGCTAAAGCCATAGTGCAGTTTTTCCTTGGCTAGCAAGGAAGCTGTCTGTTGGGAGTCATTGGTAGGCGCCAGCTGTAATCAAGGAGAAGAAATGGGGTGTATTCCAGAAGTGTTTTGGGGCTGAAAACAAGAAAAGCTGCTTGAATCATTGTGCAGTATTTGCGGTTGCACTGCAGAGTGTGGATTGCCACAAAGAGAGATTGATGGGACCAATTTGTCAGCCACCCCAGATGCCAGGGCAGACATCACCGCAGTAACCACAGAAGAAGCATATTTATGTCCGTCTACTTCCCTGAAGAAAGTGAGGCCCTATATGCTTATTCTACAATGCTGCTAATGATTCTGTAGCATGCATAAAGTCTCTTTCCAGTAGTGAATTTGGGGGGGCTGCTTCTGAGGTCAGACAACTTCCAGGCAACTGGTGCTGGCCAGAATCTGTCACTGGGGCACGATGGACAGCACTGGGTATGTCCTGCCCCAGGGCACTGGGTCACCTATGCTCCCAGCAGTCCTGTCCCCTACTGCCTGGCTTGCTTCTCACTGCTGTGAGACAGCAGTGGTCTGTGACTTTTTATTCCCACACTCAGATGTTGTATTTGCCAAAATGTGAACTGTGAGCTGCCTGTGAATACATTATGCACACTCCTTAATGGCCTTAAAATTGCTGGACTTATGCTGGATGCTTCTATCCCAAGTTGAAGTATTGGCTCTTTAGGTTTTTCTTAACGTGCAAATTCATGTCATCTCAGATCTGCAACAAGTCTTTATTTCCCTTTTAGTCATTCAGCAAACGTTATTGTCAAATTATTTTTAAGGGTCTTTTCGAGTAACCTTACTGATGTAGTATGATATTTTGCTGTCACAGGAAGTAAAATCCTTGTGATTATGGACCATGTGAAACATTTCATGTTGGTTTATAAAGGCCACATCCTGGCTGAGAATCTCTGAGCTAACTTGTTTCAAATACTTGATTGACGAAGGAATGTTCCCAATGCCCAAAAATTCTATCCATATAGACATTTTATCTTTAAAGCTGTGTTTTCATTTTGCATTCTTGTGCAGTAGCACTTACTTGGCTTTTTTTTTTTTTTTTAATAAATAGTGCAGTTGTTTTTCAAAGTTACTGGTTTTCAGTATTTACCTTTGCACAGATCGAGGGAACAATTGCAGTGTTTTGGGTATAATGAGACAGCCTTCCAAAGGTCTTTGGAGGAATTGAAGGTGCACTTACTGCTGTTGTTGCTTTTTGATCTAAAAAGGAAAACTATTAATGGCTTTTTTTGAGTAAAGGTGATCATAATGACACTATAGCTGGATAGATGTCACCAATTTTGCAGCAATTTAAACATGAAAAAAAAACCCAACCAACTGACCAGGTTTCAAACAGTGCTCAGCATGGTCACCAGCCATCTAACAAGGAAGAACAGTCTCTCCATCAAGATCTGTCTAAGAGGATAAAGATCCCAGAGTTTTCTTTCTGCAGTTACCTGGATCTGAATATTCCTGGTGCCTCAGTTTCCCTGTTGATAAAATGGGAATGATATTACTTTTCTTATTTTCTAACACTGGAGTGCTGCCAGGCTTCACTCATTAATATTCTAAGATGCTTGCTGAGGCTCTGGGATGAAAATACTTCAGTAAAGTATGTAAATAGTGCAAAAAAATAATTTAGCTACTCAAAGTGGATTAGTTTCCTTGTTTGGGTTACAGAATTAATGGCATCAACTAAACACAACGTGCCTCTTTGTAGTGATGGTTTTTGGGGTTTTTTTAATCATCTGTTCTAAAGAAAAAAAATTTTGAGGTTTGTGATTAAAACACTAACCAATTCATGTAGTTGTTCTTCTACCTGTAATGACAAACTTCCTGTATGATTCATTACAACCTTAGCTCCTGTACTTGTGAAGTACAGTGGCTTTGTAAATTCTGTTGAGATTTTCCTTGTATGCTGAGAATTTTTTTTTAAATGTGTAATGTTGAGTCTAATATATAACAAACTGAACGCTTCTAAATCCTTCTGCTATTTGAGAAGAGTTTGTTGTAATAAAGAAAAAATCAATAAATCCAGATTTTACAAACATTTCACTTATTGCTCATGCTATTTTAAGGTATATGTTTGAATAGATAGGCCTTGTGTTAATTACTTAGTGAGATTTTTTTTTTTCTTCTTTATCTCTGTCTCCAGGGGGCAACCTAGACTGGCAGCACTGGCCGTTTCTGGGCATTTGGTTGCCTGGATGAGCTGTAGCGCCGCAGGCCATTGCCCTACACGTGGCTCGGCTTTTGGTAGGTGTATCCAGGGCTTGTCAGAAAGGTCCTCCTTCAGAGGCGGTTGAGACTTGTTCTCCGTGGTTACTGCCGCCAGCAGCCCTAATTTTGGGGTTTGGAACATTTTTATCCACCTCTCTGAGTCTTTTCTCCAGCAACTTGAGGTTCAGGCGCTCCGACTGAGTGCAAACCACAATGAAAGTGCTCTTTTCTGTTAGTTTGGGATTCTTACTGTTCAAGATCTGCTTTCACTGTCAGTCAGTTAGTTCTGCAGTTAGTTGTCACATGTGTTACACAGCTTGGAAGATTCCCCCTGGGAAGCAGTTAACATTTAGGCAGGCAGTCTCCGCACTGCTGGGTTAGGAGGGTCTGGGGGTCACTGCAGCACCCCGGTGCAGGTGCCCTCCTGCAGCACCTGTTTGTGTTGTGAGTGGGAGAGCAAGGCTGCAGCATGGCACTTCTCCATGGACGCTAGTGGCAGATAGTCAGACAGTTCTCGCTGACAGATGGCCAACAGTGTTTTACAGTTTGGGCTTGAGAAACCAGTGGTATAAAATTTTTTTAGGAGGGGTTAAATATTGGGGCTATTGCTATACCTTCTGCTGGAAACATTCCCCATTTCTTGAAGAGAGGGATCGTCAGGCTGAGTATCAAGCTGTGACCAACTTGCTCCAGTATCTTGGTTGCAGCAGTGTAGTATCCAATGTTTGAGAAGAGCATCCAGAATATTTCTTAATATCCCGTTACAGTTTTACACAGGTTTGTGAAGCAGGAGGCTGTATCCTTGCCAATGGTTGCATGCCTTGTTACTCATGTAAACATTGGATCCTTTTCTAGACTGACTTCAGATCCTTTTTTTTTTTTTCCCCTCAAACATCTGCAGCAGTGAGCCGTCAGGGTCTAATTAGAAATTTTGCTCAAAAAAAAGAGTCCTTTTGCATGCTTCACTGCCTCTTCCCAAAACACTTCAAAAACAGATGCAGTCAATCTGCCTTTGCAGTTTTGTTTGTCCAATGGATGTTTCTCTCGTATCGCCCTGATCCATTTCCTCTCAGAGATGAGCAATCCCCAACGTGTCCATCTCTTGTCAGAGAAGAGTGCTGCTTGTCTTGGGATACTTAATCTTTTTCTGTTGTTCTGCAACCTCACTTCTGACGTAGGAGCACAGGTTTGCGTGTCTCAGCTTCCCTGGGACCCCTGGGCTTGGAGTTTTCCTGCTGCTTGGCTTTGGGCCTCGAGAGCTCTGGGACATACGAAATATGGGGGGTGCAGTCTCAGTGTGCCTCCGTGCCCCTGCAGAATGGGAGAAGTTTCTGACCTTTGGGTTGGGGCAGCGCCTGCATTTGCCTTTCTGTCCGCCGAGAAGGAGGACTTGCAACGGCAGTCCCTTGCACGAGAGTAGAGGGAGGATGGAGCAGATGGAAGATGCAGGCTACTTGCTCCCTATCCAGCCTTCTGCATTCTCCACATATTTGTAAAACAACTTTTGTTTTAAATTGAATTGAATTCTAAGAGTGCCATTGAAATACAGAAATGCTTCTCACTGACCTATTACTCTGCATTCATGTTGGTAAAATTTTGGATGAGTTTCTATAGTCCTCCCGCCAGTTCTTTGTCAGGGTGAAGGGTTTAGTTGGCTCTGTTAATCCACTCTCTAGCTGAAATTGTTCATTTAAATCGTTATAAAAATCCACTCTTTTCCAATGCGAATCCTATATTCCCAGATTCAAGTACTGCTGCCAGTGCAAAGACTTCAAATTCTTTGAGTGCTATCACACTGTGTCAGTCCAAAGCCAAATTGCAAACACTTATCCACAATTCCCCTTACTCAGCTTTAAGCTAATTTTTCCAGCAGGCAACAGTAGCCATAAAAGTATAGGGAAAGATTGTTAGAAGAGCTTAAGAAATTGTTGATTGATGCCTTCACAAGCTGTGGCATAATTCTACCGCATCCTTTTCTTGCAAGAAGCAAACCCTTTCG